CTTAGCAGGCTGACCAGCTGTTGCAAGTCTCGCCACTTGACTTGAGGAAGGGGAGAATTCGTATTATACGTACCACGAATGGAACGCTGCAGAGAAGGACATCCTGGAAGAGACGCAGGTGGTCTTTCGTGAGTGCAGTGTAATGATGTAATGAAATGTAATTTTGATGTGTCTTCCTCCCGTGCTCCTGTGCCAGCCTGGGCAGCGCTTCTTCTCCTTGAATCGCGCTGGCCTTGGACTGGTGGGATCCGAGTTCCACAGTTTTCGAAAGCGCGGCGAGGTGCCTTCACTCCAGGCCTCGCGCGGCTTGGAGCCGGCGTGTGGACAGGTGACATCGACTCTTCGTGGCAGGCAATCGCGGGGAACTGCATACCAGAGCTGTGGCGTCAGTCAGAGAGACCTTGTGGTATGTGATGGTTCCTCACCACAGCCTAAACAGATTTCCAACTGTTGCATTGCCGCGATGTTTCTTGTCCTAAGTCATCGTTATTTCGTGCGGCTGAAACTTTGGCGATCCAGAACCGACTGTTCAACCAAGCCAGCTTGCACAACCAAGATGCCACTTGCCTCAACGAAAAAACGCTCAGATTCCACAACCAAGAGACGGATTGCTAAACCAAGCAAGGCACGCAGTTGCTAACCAAGGTCCTCGGATCTGGGAAACGCACTGTTTTCTGGTAGGTTGCCTTGGGTTAGCTGTTGGCTTAGGTGGCTTCGGCTTTCTCTGTGAGGGGCGGGTGTTAGCTTGCTTTATCTTGCTTGAATTTGGGTCGAGTTAACTTCGAACGTAGCCAATGCGACAGTCTTGTGGGTAACCTGTGGTTCGGCTGAGTCGGGCGAGGTTCGGTTACTTTTCATTAACTGAGGCTGGGTCGGGTTATATTGATTCATTGGGTTGCCGTGGGTTGGGCTTGGTTGGATTAGGTCGCGCTTGGTCAGGTTGCGCCGCCTTTGCTTCGCTCGGGGTCGCTTGGGTTGGGTTAAGCCAACCGACCCTCACCGGACCTAACCCACCCCACCCAGCCTGATACCGAGCTTAACGCAGCCCCTACCACCGTCCTAGCCCAATCAGCGTAAGCTAAGCCAACACAAGTCCAATCCAGACCCCACCCCAACAAGGCACCTAATCCGATTTAAAGCAACCCAGCCACATAGAATGGCCAGGTTCCGACCCAAGCCTAACGTAACCCAACCTAGCCCTGGCCCGACCTGGACGTAACCTAGCATAATCCAACCAAGCTTTATTTAACCACGCAGAACCGAAAGCTTAACTCAACCATATCTCAACGCCAATCCATGGTCCGACTGAAACCCTAAACCACAACAATGCAATCCAAAGTCCAACTTGGGCCCTAAATCCAAAAATTGGGTTCCAGCTTGTACCTAAGCTTGGTTCGGGTTGGGTCTCGGTCAGGGTTGAGTCAGGTTAGGTTGGTTCACGTTAGGTCTAGATTGGTTTATGTCAGATTAAGTTTTCGGGTCAGGCTGTGCCGGGAGTCAAGTTTAGGTGGGGTTACGCTAGATTGGATTAGCAGGTGGAATCGGTTGTGGTGAGGTTTCAAGTTTGCCAAGTAGGATCTTTTTGTTTTTGGGTTTGGGGTTTGCCACCCGCGACCTGTAACCTTTTCTTGAGATAGTTGGGCAGTGGACATTCTTGGTTGCCCAGGACCAAATCTTTTTGGTTGGGAAATCTGCACTTTCGTCTTTTGCTTTCGGTCGTCTGGCTCACTTCGCAGGATCTCGTTCGCACCCCCGGCATGGTTCTGTGCCTTGCCGAGAAGAGTGGTGACTGATGGGGCGGGGCAGCACAGGGTCGCGTTGAGCATTCTTACATCCTCAGGAACTGGGGCCTGGCCGGAGCACCGCATCAAAGCTGAACCTGTAAGGAATGCAGTACAGTTTGCGGTGGTCAGCACATGTCAGCACCGAAGTCTGTGAACTCCAAGGTACGTGGCCTGCGATATTGGAGGTAGGGCCTTTGCCAGAGCATGACACAAAGTTTAGCTATACAGAACCAGGTTTCACTGGAGAGCCGACTCCAGAGCTCTTGGTCAGATGGTACCAGGCCGTGTTGGCCGTGTTCTGTTTTCGCCTGTTGAAGTTCTTGAAGTTTCCAGTGTCAGGTGGGAGTCTTCATGCCCATTATGCGAGTGCACTCCGCGATCTGGGTCAAGCCACACTGGCCGTGGCTTTTTGGAGACCGTGCCGCGGAGGTGATGTGGCATCCCCAGACTCGGTGGGATCTCTTTGTGAGTGCGACTCTCGCTTGAGTTGTCTGCGACTGCTCGGGAGCCTTTTTTGCTTGAGGCGGGAGGCGCTGAATCTTCGCTACCGAAACTTGACCAAGTGGAGCTGAGCACATGATCCAAGCCTCTTCGCAAGTTTTTCACTACGTCTGCTGCCAGGACGTAGTCGGTTGAATTGCGATCCCGCCCCAGTACAGTAGGCGACGTGACGCCAGGAAGCCTCGTTCCACTTATGCAGCCTACGGGGTCTCATGGTAAGCGGCAGTTCGCAAGGATTGATACCATACCATTATTCGCTGGCGCATCGTGCCGGCCTCAGCCGCAAGAGCCCACGGGGCTTGACAGGGCCACTGGATCGGTTCCCGCAGGTCTGTACTCGGTTGGCATTCTGTGGATTCGACCACTGGCTGCCGTCTTCCCCGAGGATCCTAAGGCGGGAAGCAATGAGAGTGTATTCAGGATGCAAGACGACGAGTTGGAAAGCTGAACCATGCAAACCAACCTTCAGCCATCACCAACATTCGCAATGAAGCTCCTGTTGGCCTGTGGTTCTAGCCGAATGTGTCAGGTTGCCAACCTCACATCTCAGTGGATGGACGGAGAAATACTAGTGTTCTCATCTCAGAGCGCCAAGTTGCCGCTTGCCGTTGCGAGGCTTCGTGGGTATGTCAGGGAACAGCATGTACGAAGTCTCGCGACGCGTGGCATACCTCTGCATGCTGATAGTGTCGCTGCTGCTGTCAACTCCGCTTCGTGCTTTGCTTAGGTCGCCTATTTTGAACGAGGCGTCGAAGTCTGAAGTGTATCTTCCGGAGGGTCAGTGGCACCCGTTCAATCGAGCGGGTGAAATCATCACCGGGCCACGAAGTGCTGTCGAGGAGGCAAGCATCCCGCAGTTTCTCCACGGACTCACCCAATAATACGATATTTTCTTGCAGGTGCCACTCGACAACATTCCGGCTTACGTGAGACTTGGAACTGCTTCTCGCCTTTGTTACGCGTGTGAAGCGCGGTGGACCGCAGTCGCTTGTGCGATTAGGTAATTCCCTTGGCTCCACAAGTACAGTCCACAGACGACCTGCCTGGGGGTCCGCTTGAGGTGCAGGCAGGTTCGCACAACGATGTGTGAATCAGACAGTGACTATTCCTACACAGTCTGGGCTCTTATGGACTGTGGACGTGGTGGTAATCAAAAAGCTCAACTGTCTGCAATAACTTCAATACCTCGGTGGCATTGTGGGAGGTATATGCCGGTGCAGATGGCAACTTCACTCTAGTAGAGGAGCAGCCTCTTTGGCAAGCATTCGAGACTCAGACATCATTGCGCCGTTAGGAGTTCTTTGAAGCTTGGGTTCTCAGGACGGTGTAGCAAGGAACCCTGACACCGATGCCATACTCTTGCCTGGTGTAGTAGAAAATGCAGTGCAAAGCAGTCGGTGAAGAGGGTGATCCTCTTGCGTGGTCTTCTCGCCGTCCGGTGAACATTTCGCGTGTAGCAAGGCGCCATATCAAATCGATCTCTCCCATATTCCTTTCTCTAGCATGAAACGACAAGTGGCAGCCATTTCTAACGTGAAGCGGAGCTGTGCCAGTTCGACTCGATGTCAGTTTATGAACGCACTGAACCATTTGAATGTTCAGAAGTTTCCGAGACCAGGATTGGCGTTCGTAGTTCCGTGCCAAGGGAAGGGAACTTCTTTCAGTGACTTTGCCCCGCAGGATGATGGAGAGACAACGTCCTACAAGAAAGGGTCGTTGCGCAAAACTACCTTTGTATCTTAGCTGTATTTGCATGAGCTGGCTAGTGGATGCCATGTCTGATCCTGTGCCGGATGGTCGCCTCGTAGGCCTCCATTGCTGTGCCGCGTCGCCTGTTTCCAGCTGTAGCTACGGTGCAGTTTAATGGGATTGAGGTCAGGCTTTCATTGTTCCTGCGCACGCTCTGACGCCAAGGTTTGGAATGACGACGAAAAGCAGCTGACGTGGAGCACAGCAGGTGCAAGCACTCAGGCAAGGGCACGTTGCACCGGCCGTCTGTTTACAGAGTTTCGACTGCAGAGCAGGCCCGTTATTTCTCGTCCATTCGCTGCACCCTTTTCGCGGGCGGCGGCTCCGTGGTACAGGGAGAGGCGATGGAGCTTCGCAAGGTCCTCAGAGCCCTTCAGCTGCCTCTGCCAACAAATGCTGGTTGAACCTCCAGCTGTAGCAGATGCATGCTGTAGGAATGCGCGACTGATCTTTGCAGGATGCCATTTACGCGTGTCCCGATACTTGAAAGCTGGAACATCTCAATACGCTCGACAGGCGATACGGGCACACTCCGCATGGCTCCACGAAGGCTTAGGGCGGCGAAGCTTCTTCAGGTGCCCTGAGCGCGTTTGAGAAGCACCAAGCTTTGCGGGTCGTGGCATGTCGTGTTATGGTAGAACTTGTGTTCAGTTTGTGTGATTTATCCAGGCAGACCTAGCTGTCGATGTTCATCTGCATCGTGTTTACTGTTTAGCACCTTTGGATCCAGGTTCGGACTGAAAAATCCGTGAGCGCTCTTGGCTTCGACGACTGAATTCTGCGGCATGCGTGCAAAAGACCCGCGGTGCCGATTCATAGCCAAGTTGTGCTTACAACGCCTCCGTGCCTTTACGCTCTTCATGCTCTCCATGTTCACGTGAAGACGTTCGAAGCTGGGCCTTGGCTGTTTGACCTCTGTGCATTCAATCGAGCAGGGTTTCAATGTCACGATGTGACCTTGTGCAGGCAATGATGTCTGGCGACTGGGTTTGTCCCAACTGCCAAGACCTTGTCTTTGCAAGGACAGGGTGGGGCTTTTGACTGTTGCTATGCGTTAGAGGACATGGGCAGGAGCTGAAGTGAGGACTTCCGATGTCCAGATCGAGATGTGATCTTGAAAAATGATGTGCAGAACGGGCCATTCGTCTTAATGCCATTGTTGTGATACTCTTTAGAAGCTCGAGGACTTGTCTCCATGCACATGCAGTGGCAGCAAAGCATGTCATCTGCCACATTCCACTGTGTTCGACTGCCTACAGACGTGTAGCACCGACATTTTGCGACATTTCACCGACATGAGCATGGCGGGGCACTTCGGACTCACTGTCAGCGTAGAGTGCCCCAGTCCAGAAGCTTGAGTCTCCCTTGAAGCAGGAACAGCCACTGTCGGCGATGCAGTACACCCAGGCCGGAGCAGCCATGGGCCTACCTGCGCAGTTGCCGAGAGATGCGGAAGTCTACTTGGGCTCGAGGGCAGAAGGCTCGCTGGTCTTGCAAGATTGCGTTTGGTTTGGCAACCGAGGGTTAGGCTTTCAGCAACACTCCTCCGCTTGTGCATCGGCCCGAAATTGCCTGAAATCCGAACACCGGGTGCGCCAAAATGGATTGCATGGACTGCCATGGCTTGACTGGGAAAGTGTCCAAGGCTTCAAGCCTGGAGATCTAGATGATTTGTCAGGCCTTGGACGAGATCGTCGTAAAGGACGGTTAAGCGATTTGATTTTCATGTACCCCGCCACTTCTTGGCACAGCAACACAAAAAAGTGTCGTCTGGCGAGGTGGATCCAAAAATCCCCACTCAAAGACCCTCAACGGTGTGGAACACCAAAGCCCTACACTGTGTGCCCAGTCTGCATCCGGGACTTGATGATGTCTTTCGTCTTTGCAAAAAAAACATTGTCGTGGTGACTCGATCTCACGGCATTAAAACAACACAGCTGAGTAGGAGTCGCGGAGCGGTTGTGCTTTTTTTCACGCGACGGTCGAGTATTCATGCGGGGTGTGAGAGAAGGTAGTTCTGCGAGCAGTAAGTGCATGTTCGATGTTTTTGCCGCAAGCTAGCTCCGTGTTGGGCGGGAAAAGGAACGGTTAGGCGTCATCCTGTATTCAATGTACGGTGGAAATGGAAAATGTGAGCGTGTGAAGACAGCGAGAAGGGGTTTATAGGACTACGTGGGTCCGATGTGGCTGGATTCTGGTGCTGACCAACTTTATTCTAGCCCTGTGCATTGCCCAGGCCTTTCGTCCCACCAGGCGTTGGCATGCACGGAGCCATGCAAAGACGGACATGATGCATGTTGCGTAACGTTGCATTCGTTGAAAGGGCAGCCTTTACTGCTGTTGATTGAATGCAGCTTGTTTGATTTGCTGATGGGCGAAATCAGCAAATAAGGGCAACTGCAAGTTTAGTTCCTTCCGTCGACAAGCCTGTCTGAGTTGGTTTTCTTCCAGTGGAATCTAAATTTTACATTTGTTTCTTGGGCCTTTTGTTGCAGGCTTCCCTGGCTATCCTGGCTACCCCGGTCTGCCTCCCGGGACGGTACCAGGGAACTGCTCCAATCCGGGGTCCCACAGCAAGTGCTCCCCAGCTGTGAGGTTACTCCGGATATTTCCCGTGGTGGGGTCCGGCCACTCAGAGTAAACACTCCTACGGAGGCGATGGCTGACAGGCAGTTGTCCAAGTTATCCAATGATGGGTTTCAAATTCGTAGGAGGGAGTGATAAGTGGTTCAAAAGCCACTTACACGGATCAGTTGTGGGCACGGTCTAATTAGTGGACCCATTCTGTGTCGCCGTTCTTGCAAGGTTATCCGCCACCGCCCATGAAGAGGGCCAGCTTAGACTCATGCCATTCCTGCCTAGCCGTCGCATCAAGCTGTGTTTGACCACTTTCAGGACAGCAGCAGTTCCGACAGCGACTCTTCCGCCCGGGTCCAAGCTTGCAAGCCTTTCTGTGATTCCAGACCGACAGCCTGTGCAGGATGATTCGACATCCGACACGAGCGAGGAGGTTCTGACAAGTTATTACACTCGCAAGCACCATGTGCAAAATCATGCAGGATGCAAGGAAAGCAGCAGCATCGAAAGCGCGGCTGAAGGCGCGCGAGAAGGTCGCTGCCGGCAGAGGGGACGTCTCCGCGCTTAGCTTCGCTCTGCCGAGAGCGGCCTCTGCCAAGGTCGAGGAGGAGCGAGCGGAGCGAAGAGCCAAGGAGGGGCTCTCGAGTGGACATGTGCCCTGGTCTTGTCTGACACGAAAAAAGAGCCTTAGTCAAGTAAGTGGGCTGTGAGGTGACCATAATATGAAGCGCAGCAATGTGAGATCTCAGCCTTGAGCAGTGCTCCTCACGGATGTCGTGCTGTCCCGTTCTTCCCGTGTGCTAGCAGGTTTGTGCCATCTGTTAGTCTGTGAGTCTGTCTATTTTTTGTTGCATGGCTTCGCAGCATTTCATGCATCTGGGGGTGACCATTCGTTTCCATACAGGACTGGAGATTGTTCGTGAGAGGATAAACCAGGAGCATCAAGACCACCAATAGGAAAGCTCTTGACATAGGGGGCCTTCGAAGGCATCTTTGTCATGGAACGGTGATCACACATGGAGTTTAACATCAACACCCCGCAACTACAGCTTTGAAGATGCTTGTTCGCAGCATTGCACTATTCACAAGTTGTGAGGCATTGTGTTTGTTTGGAGCTCCGAGCTGACGTCTTTGCATGCACGGTGTTATGCAGAAGCCGTTCTAGCAACGAAGCATGCAAACGTCACGAATGTCGTGCAAGGTTTTCAGAACATATTGCTGCATGGCATTCCGCATTCGGGGGTCCAAGTTTGGCAACTTCCCAAACAAAAGTGTCCAAACCACACAGTACCGATTAAGTCTGGTGGCAGGCCAGTTTTAGATGCTCGGACAAGGGCTTTGATGCCTTCATGAATTCAGAGCATTAGAGCCGCATGCGAGCCGAGCAGGAGAAAAGAGGCAAGAAGCTGAAGGCCCAGGCCGATTTGGGGCGAAGCGATGATGTGCGGTCCATTCTTATCTCCAGGCCTCCTCCAGCGAGCGAGACAGCGAAGCCAAGACGAAGCCCAAAAGAAAAGCCAAGGAGGCATCTCTGCGAATCGCTGGGCATTGATTGGGCTTAGGGGTGTCAGCAAGGACAGCGACAAGGATGACGACGGTGAGGCCAGTACAGAAGGAGAATCAGCAAAACCAAAAAAGAGCAGAAAGGACAAAAAGCAGAAGAAGGAGAAGGAGAAGGAGAAGGAGAAGAAAGAGAAGAAGGAGAAGGCTCCTTGGGGCTCCGTCTTCTACTCTGCAACCCGAACGTGTCACTGATTGTTGCAGTGTGCCATCTCTGGACCATTCAGAAGGCGGGTTGCAGGGTGTACAGGATATACGTATATATATATATATATAATATACATGTATATATATATATATAATATACACCTGCATGCATGCATGCATGCATGCATGCATGCATGCATGCATGCATGGATGGATGGATGGATGGATGGATGGATGTACGTATGTATGTATGTATGTATGTATGTATGTATGTATGTATGTATGTATAAGCATCTCGGCTCCATGTGGAGGCGTGAGCGACTCCCGTTTGCGTGGGGTCTTGACTGGCTCTTGCTGTTCGGTGGTTTGGAGCCTTCGGACAAGCAGGGCAGGCTTTCTTCTGTGGGGTGGCTGGCTGGGCTTAGCCGGCGCCATGGATACGTACACAGTCACACTACATGGCAGCAACAAAATGCCTCGATATGATTCTCGTTTGCTTGTCGCTGACTGTCTGTACTATGCTGTGGAGAACTATGTGCTGGGCTGCCTTACGCGGCAATGGCAATCCCTGGCACTTCATGAAATCCGCAGGCGGCAGGGCGCTTTGGCCCTACGATGGGCCGCAGCTGGGGCCTTTGGAGTTTGGTTTGATGGGTGGCTTCTGCTCACTGATGGTAGAAGGGTGGAACTACTGGCAGCGTCGGTGGATGAAGAGTTCGGGCTCTCTGTCCTTTGGGCGGTTTGCAAATTTCAGTACCCCTCCCTGGAAGAGATGGATTGACAAGGCTGATGTCTGGAGAAGCTTAAGAGGAGCGTGGAAACTCTGCGGGCAACGGGGGTCGCGGCCCTCGCCCTCAGACGCTCTGACGAGTCTCATGTTTGTCATGCTTTGCGTTTGGGCGGGGGCACTGGGCAGCCCTGTGTATCTGTCGGCTGTGCTGATCCACTGCCTCTTGACGGCTCCTGGCCCTTCGCCTTCACGGTCTGCGACTGCTGTCAAGTGCCCCCGACACGTCTGGCCACGCAGCTATCCGTGCTTCAACATATCAGCTGCAGTCTGTTCTTTCCTTGCCAAGTGGGCTCAAACGAGGTGCTCTGGGGCAGGAAACGCCTGTTCTTTTCAAGCAGCCCAGGTCATGGCTGAGGACTCTTTGGTGGAAGATGATGTTCACTCGGAAGGCTCCACGGCGTCGATCCACTCCAACTCCCCTCCAAGAGGGCCCCCACCTCCTCGACCTGTTAACGCAGCTCTTGCGGGCTTGCCGAACCTCGCGCCAGAGATGGAACCGGAGTACAGGCACTTCTCGCTCGCGGTCTCGCAGGCCATATGCGATGTCATGAGGCGCCATGGCAATGCCAAACATGAGCTACATGTCTTGAGCTGCCCTCCCATGGACTGGAAGACGTCCCCTGGCTTCAAGCTGGTGGCTGTTCCACTCTCGGTGGCTGTCATGGAGCACCCCAATGTCCTTCGGTGCGTGGATGGCCCGGTGGACTCACCTCCTGCAACCGCTTTGGCTACCCCACCTCAGGAGGCGAGAACAGACGAGCCCGAGCCTGAGTATGCTGATCCCGCCTGGGCTGTTCGTGCATCGGCTATGAGCACGGCATCCCCGCCTGTTCTACGACTCCCAGACCCGGGCCGAAATCGTCGTCGTCTGGCAACAGCCGTAAGTGTGGCCCTTACATGCTAAGTCAGTTGTGGCACCTTGTTCAAGGGAAATACCGGTGAGCTGGCGTCTCCTTTGTTCTGTGCTTCAGTGGTTGAGCCCAGGCGAGTGCGAGCGCAGGAGCAGTGAACCCGTAGAAGGGCCGTCCGGGCCGGTGTGTGCCGCCGGACCAATAGGGCAAGTCATGCAAGCCGGAGTCGCCTGGTTGACGGCGGTGGCAGTTTTGAAAGGTATGGAGAACACAGGCTCTCTACACTGGAGCTGCCTGACTGCTTCGGCGCTAAAACAGGGGTGGCGTCATGCTGGTCTTGCTCCTGATCGATGCCTACTGCCCTGCACTCCTGCTCGCACATGGTTGGCCAGGTGCCGAATGTCCTCGCTACTGCCAATGAGGTGGGTGCCGCCTTCATCTTGCAGCCTTGACATGATTATAGCGATGCACCTCGTGCTCCTGATCAGGTCCTTTGCTCTTGTGGCCTTGCTGGAGGTAACGAAGGCCTGTGCACTTGTGCAGCAGTCAGTGCCGTCAAATTCAGCCACGGAGGCACATATGACACCGGAATCGAAGCTATCAGTCACACCCCCAGGAGCACAGTCGATGTCCCCAGCAGTGATCCAGCAGCTTGCTCGACAACACCATGACAGGACTACCCGAACACCATGGAGATCCGAGAGCCCCATTGTCGGGGATGACAACGTCTGCTATGGCGAAGCGTGGTGCCAATCACCAGGCTGTTTGTCACGGCAAAGTTTTTCCCAAAACTTCTCCCAGAAAAAGAGCACTTATCCGAGCAATCACCCAAGCCACCAACAGTACAGATGGGTCCACCATGTACAGAGGGCGCCGAATGTACTTGAAAGATCTCTTGCAAGGCCGTAGCCCGACTCGATCGCAGCGGCAGCCCGGTTTTCCCTCGCAGCGAGCTCAAAGAGTCAGACAACACAAAGCCAAGGGGCTCTTACATTCTTACACATTCTTCGTCACCTCAG